TCTCGTGCTCCAGCTCCTAATAGTCAGTTTTTTAGCATCACTATTCCCCATTCAGACCTATTCTTAAAGGTCTAGGACTTGAACAAATTGATCCTGCATTGATTAAGTTGACTAAGATGGTGGCACAAGACCTTGATGCTCATAGGGATCACAAAATTCTCCAAGGTTTCTTATTTTACAAAGGCAGAATTTATCTTCCTTCCCATACTAGCTTGAAGGCTCTTCTGCTGGAGGAATTTCATGCTACCCTTTTTAGAGAACACACAAGCGTTACAAAGACTTTAGAGCGTATATCTAAGAATTTTTATTGGGAAGGATTAAAATGGGATGTCATTGACTATGTGAAGAAATGTGCTACATGCCAGTATGTCAAAACACCCACGCATGCCCCATACAGGTTGTTACAGCCCTTACCTGTTGATGTTGTATTTTAGAAGATGTTTCGGCAAATTTTACCATACGCCTCCCTTCATTTCAAATATATATTGTAATCTTGGTTGTTGTCGATCGCCTATCCAAGGCTGTCCATTTTAGAATGTTGAAATCCAATTTTTTCTGCTGCTCAGGTGGCCTAATTATTTGCTGTCATGGTTTGCAAGTTGCACAAAATTCTGTGGAGCATTTTATCTGATCCAGACCTAATTTTCATTAGCCATTTTTGCAATAAATGTTCAAATTTAGTGGCATGAAATTGATAATGACAACTGCCTACTACTTGCAAGGTGACAGGCAAATTGAGGTGATTAACTGAATCCTACAACAATATCTGTGCGCATTTATTCACCATCAACCTTCGCAATGGGTCGTCTCTTGCATTGGGCCGAACGACATTATAATTTTGCGTATTAGACATTCGTAAGTATGAGCCCTTTCCAAGCAGTCTATGGCAAGCTTCCTCTGTCCCTTCCTATATATGTGGCGAGGTCTAGTACTTTTGAAGTTGTTGATGTAGAATTGTCCACTCAAGAAGCTATATTAGCTAAGTTGAAGGGCAATCTGTTAAAGGTCTAAGTATCTATGACCAGCGTCGCATTCTGCATCCTTTTCAGTTGGATGATCATGTGTTGGTGAAAGTAAGGCCATATCGTCAAGTCTCTGTGGCTAGTCAACAGGTACAGAAATTGGCCAAAAACTTTTATGGGCCTTTCACTATCACCCACTACATTGTTGATGTTGTATTTGGATTGGACTTTCTCAAGGAGTCCAACATCCATCCAGTATTCCATGCATCCAAGCTTAAACCCTTCTTCGGCGAAATTGATGATAAAGAATTCTCTCTTCCACTTACCGCTATTGACAACTAACCCAGAATTTTGCCTATGGCAATTATGGCTGAGAAGATAGATGGTGACCCTCCAACTAAAAAGGTTCTCGTTCAATGGTAAGGCTTGTTTCTGGAAGACTCCACTTAGGAGGTGCTCGATGAATTGCTACGCAAATTTTCTTACATGCACGTTGAGGACAAGGTGTTTGTCCAACGAGAGGGGGATGATATGATTTATGAAGAGGAAGAGGGCTTGGAGCAAGAGTTGGACCTGGTTGTTGAGATGGAGGAAGATTATCATCAGGCCCAAGAAATTGAGAAGCTCAAGAGGAAGAAGACCAGGTCCAAATGGCTTAATGACTTTATGGTTCCTGAGAATAGGTGTAAGGATAGTGCTAAGGGTAAAAAGTGATGGTTGTGTTGCTCTTTCATTGATTTATGCAATTAGTTATGCATGCCCCTAACAAACTATAAGTGTAATGGCTTTGCCACATTTCACACGCAAGCTTTATTGAGAATACTTCCATCAAAATTTTGCCTTCACCACGCGTTATTTCATTATATTGCACTTGCAGAGACTAGAAACAGAAAAATGATCAAATTTTACAGAAGAAGTGAGATATTGTTAAAGACTTGAAAAATGCTTCTCACTTGCTGTTGCTTAAGGTCACAATTATTAATTTTTGTTTCATCATAAATATTTTAAAAATAAAAAAGATGAAACAAATGGGAATAGTGATGGATTTGGAATGTTAAATTTGATTTGACATTTAGAAAAAAATGTTATTAAAATAATTTCCAATTTAAAATTTTAAAAAATAATAGTTAAAAATATTTTTAGAAATTTTAATTGAAACATGGTAAAATTTACTCTTTTTAATTTACACAAGTGTACGATTAAATAAAATTATGCAACATGTCCCTCAATTGAGACATGGTAAAAGTGTATTAATATTAAAATTAAGTAGTAATTATTTATAATAAATAAAATTAATTATTTTACTATAAAATATTCATATAATTATTAGACTAATATAACAAGGTTTTTGATAATTTAGTTTTTTAAAATATTTTAGGTTTGATATTATTTTGAGCCATAATTAAAACTATGTTTGATAAAATGAGTTGAAAGCTTCAATTTTGTAATTCTTGCTGCAAAATTAGTTGAAAAATGTATAAATAGCTTATGAAATTAATTTGTTTGACAAATTAATTATGCAATTAACTAATTTATGTTAAATGACTTAAAAAGAATATATAGTATTATATTAATATATATTAAAATTATATATAACTTATTTTAACATATTTTTATTAATAAATATAATATTATTGATTAAAAAATAACTTAATTTTATTTTAAAAATTAATTTTAACATATTATATTAATAATATTACATGAATTAATTTAAATAATTTATTTCTTAATTTTAAAAATATTATATAACTACTTTATTTATTTTTATTTAATAAAATTATTATTAATTATTAATAATAAAAAGATTATCAGTAGGAGGTGATAATCTTTCGTTATGAATTTTTTTACCATCAAATTTATCTTATACAGTTACATATAATCATTAAATCAAACAAAATACTATATTTATAATTTATTTTTAATAGATTTAAATAGAGGAGATAATAAAATAAAATAAAATAGAGAAAAGAAATATAAATATAATAAATGATATATATTTTAAGTAGAGATAGAAATAGGCTAGATCGTCTAACAAGAGCCCACGACCTAACCTTTTTAAAATCTAACCCGACTTAGTCTATTTAATTAATAGACTTAATTTAGACTTTTTAAAAACTCTAATTAATCTAATAGGTCAGACTTGAGCTTAAGAAAAAGTCTATTAGACCTATTAGAATAGTCTATTTAAAATTTATAATAATATATTGAATAATTTTATAAAAATTATAATATAATAATATATTAAATTAATGATTTTAAAATAATAAAATCTTAAATTAAATGCTCTAATCTTTTTAGTTAGAATTGAAGGCCTCTACTACATATCTTTTAAGAGAGAGGATCTTACTTGCTAGAGTTTTTTGCATATTCTATATGTATAACACTGATTTACATTACTTTATTTTGATTACGTCTATGCAGTTTAAAAGTGATAAATATGAATATATAACTTTATTATACATATTCAAGGTGTTAAATTATTTTTTTAAATAGTTTATTTAGATATAAGCCTTATAACTTTTAAAAAGATATACATATTTAGATAGTTTAATAGTCTATTTACAAGAAAACTTAATAACTTATTAAATGTTTCAATATAGAGTAGGCCGTCAAAAAGGTTAATAGGCTTTTAAAAAGACTAAATTAGGCTTAATAAAAAGCATATAACAAGTAATAGATCAGACTTAAACTTTAAAATTATTAAATAGGTCAGACATATTTATGCAAAGTCTAGCCTATTTTCATCTCTAATTTTAAGTGTGTAATAGGTATGTTGTCTTTTAATTTTTTTTTAAATGAAGAATAAAGATGTACTAAAAATATTAGTAATTAATTTTTGAAAATCAAACGCTTCTTTAGATAATTTTTGAAAAACAAATTTTTAAAAGTTACAATTTTCTTTATTTTATATTTATTAACCACTCTACAATTTTATTGACCTTATATTTATTAAATAACTTTACAAACTTGTTTATTGACTTGGTTAATAAGTTACTTGCATAGCGTAAAAGAACTTTAAAAATAAAAATAAATATCATCTCAATAAAAAAAATATTTTTTCAGAAATTTTTCTAAAACATAAAACTTAATGGCCCTTTCTAATATTTAATAAATTTAGTTGCAATGTATATCTGTCAAAAGAAGTAAAATAAATATGGTGGTCAATATTATGAATAGATACTTGATTAGCTTAGGTCAAGCATATTTGCATGAATGTGTATTAGTGTGGTTCAGTTGATTTATTTTTCCTAAAATTCAATCTAAATTTCAAAAGATTAATTTATAAAATTTTTTTTTAAAAAAATAGATTAGTAATAATGTTTTAGAATAAGTTTGGTTGTTTTTTTTGTATCACAATACTTTTTTTATTTTTTAAGTTTAAGTGAGTTAAGTTTTAAGAAGTCATTAGAGATATTTACAAGTCTTGTAAATACACCAAGTATTTATACCAGTAGTAAGATTAAAATTTATATTCTTATATAAAAATACAAATTTAATCCTTATTAATTAAATCAATCTTCGTTGACTATCGTAAAATCTGTAAACACAATTGTGATATATGACAATAATAATAGCTAAAATAACAATTACATTAACTACACTCATGTTAATCTTACTAATACAATAATGATAATTATAATATAAATAAGTTTTAACTGATCATACAAAAATGTTTATAATTTTCTTAAATTTATGAGTTTTATTTCAGTGTACTATTTTATATCGTTAATCAATTAAAATACATGTTAAATATAAATTTAAATTTATTTATTGCAAAATCATTTATTTTTATACATAAAATGTCATAAGATTATATGACTAATTTTGTACGCAATAAACATTCACCAATTTCGCCCAATATTTTCTACAGAAGATTAGAGTACATTTAACCATATATACGTGTACATATATATCACCTCACATGCATACAATTTTCACTAGTTGATTTTTTTACACACAGCTGCATTATTTTTCTGCCATTGTTGGAATCAAACATAAAATTTGGTTACTTAATTCATAATTAATCATTTCTTTCAATTTTTTTAATCATAAATTATAGCAAATAAAAAATCAACTAATCCAAATACATCCATAAATCACTTAACATATTTCCAGCAGTTGTCTAGCTAGCAGCATCATATGATACAAATGTCCATGTTAACTTTATTTTTGTGGCATAAAGCCTATGACTTCTGGGATATGTTATACAGTATCTTGTGATTTCTACTTTCAAGTTAAAATTATGAATCATGATATGGCACCAGGATTCCTTGTGATGGGCAAGTTCCCATCATAAGTGCATTTGAAGACATCTGGTTTCTTTACAAGGCGAGGTCCAAGTGGAACCCGGTTATTTTTAGGACGAATATCCTGCAACAACATAAAACCCCATGATTGTAAGCAAGAAGAACGCGAATAATTTCCTAAAATTGTAGTCCTTGATTTTGTGAATCAGGTATCCTAATATGAATATGTTCTGAGAATAAATAATGCTCTCTAGCTTTCTGGTTGATAATACAAGGAGTTCATAACTATGTTGTTAACAAATGATGATTGTAGTTTTATTCCTCCTGGTGATTGTTTATTGAGGCGCAAAAGTAAAAATTAAGAAAATCATACAATCCTAATTAATAAATAATGCAATCCATACAATTATGGTGTGGTTGGATGATGATTCTAAATCCTGCTAATTTCCATATACTTATTGGAAACAATCGTCTTATGATTATGAGTAGTGATGCTAAAAATAGCCACTGTAATAGATAGATTAGAGCAAGAGGGTCAATAATTAGGTTCATACATGATGAAGAGTATTTACCTGGTCAAATATAGATGTTGGGATGGCCAGGGTTGCCACAGCATTGGGGGCATCGACTATTCCTGATATTCTTCCTTCACAAGGGATGCAAGAGAGCAAAAGGTACACCTGATGTTTAACCTATACCAATTAGCCATAGGTTGCATTTTGGTGTCGAAAGGTAATGTAGAAATGATTTAACATACGTTATCCCTTTTAATTAATTAGGGGGAAAGGCCAACTAAACCTGTTCTTTGGAGTACCCAAACTTTGATATGTAGTCAATTGCATTAAGTACTGCTCGCTTGTATGCAACACTTGCATCCAAGTAGTGTTGCCTCCCACTTTCATCCACACTGATTCCTTCAAAAACCAACCACTCTGAGAATCTTGGTTCAACTGGGCCTATCTCAAATATTGGGTTGACATGAAGGGGAGTGGGGCCCATCGGTGTAAGGTACTCTTTCATTCCACCTCTTATAATCTCACACCTGATCACAGAAAAAATGGTATCAGGTTTAAGGGAAGTATTATGATTAGTTTTTTGTGATATTTGAGTTACTGAAGTTGTACTAACTTGAGTTCTAGGAAACCACTCATCTCTATTGCACCACAAAATGAGACCTCCCCATCACCCTGTGAAAAGTGCATGTCGCCAGTGCTGAGATTTGCTCCTTCTACAAAAACTGGAAGGTATACCTTGGAACCTCTGCTAAGGTTTTTTATGTCACAATTTCCACCATTTTCTCTTCCTGGAATTGTTCTTGCTGCTTCTCTTGCAATCTTCTCCCATTCAATAGTGCCCTTTTGAATCTACAAGCATGTCATGTTGATAAGAGGGCTTTAAAATAACGCAAATTAAATCTTTTGATTTCTTACTTGGATGAAGATTACTGTGTTCACTAGTGTAAAAAGTAGCAGCTTTGTATGTCACTAAAGGGATTACTTATAGTTTATTTGACAGTCTCGTGTAGGGACTTTTAAGATTTTAGTCTTTACTTTAAGTGCACAGTATTTGAACTCAACTCTTTAAATGTTTGATTAATCTTATTTGTTGGACAGAACAAATTAGCTTGTCTGTGTCTTGACAAAAATGACACAACAATAAGTCGAATGATAACGATTTCACAAGTATTCTTCTTTTCAACTTTTAACTTAATTAATTATATTTTTAAGACTCGAACTTCAAATCATTAACAAATTAAGGGTTAGAGTAGCTCTTGATAGTTACATGTTCAGTGGTAGATTGACCTAAATGCATGTTTGTTTCAATTTATTTTGGAAAAATAATTTTATTAACCACTTTCTTTAGAGTTTTCTTAAATAAATATAATCATTTCAAAAGAAAGTCACCAAATATGTAGAAAATCTAAGAATTTGCTCTGGATTTTAGATTCAAAGCTGCAAGACGCATATGATTTATTATCAGATTAAATTTATAAATGTTCTTATGATGCATTAATATTACCTTTCCAAGGAGACAACCTTTGGGTGAAGGTAAGTTTGCCAAGGGTCGTGAATGCAAAACCTCACATAGTTTGAAAGACTTAATTCCATTTTCTTCAACATCTGTCTCCCTTTCATTCCATATATACAGTAGTTCCAAGGATGGTGCAGTTCCAATTATCCCGGGGTGTGTTAAACCTGGAAATCGCACTCCTACCCAGCATATAGAAACTTGTATAAGTGGGAAAACATGTAGAAAAGTTCCTTAATTGTATCTACCTATTTTAAGGTTGTATCATAATATTAGATAAGAAGTAATCGGTTATTATGTTGACCTGGTATCTGAGGCGAATGAGCATATATTCCCTCAAAGTACCAGATAGCTTTTGTAGCATGAGGAAAATGGTCTGTCAAGAAACCACCCCCATTTTCTCTGTCAAATGTTGCTGTAAAACCCCATTCATCTCCTAGTAGAGGACCCAAGTTGCATATTTCAACAGCAAGCAGATCTCCAGGCTGGGCTGGGATGCCATCATTATCCACAATTCTGATTGGCCCACTAAGATAATGGACCTGGACCATTCACCCCATCAATATCCAAAATTAATTAATTACATAAAATCATGTTATGTTCCTTGACAAAAAAAAAAGGTTCATGTCATATGCAATTATCAAACAATCGTCTGGTCTCTATCATTTTATTGGGTCCTGCATATTTGGTTAGGGTATAGTGGTATACAGGGTACTGCTAAGAAATTTATAAATAAAAAAATTGTTTAAAAATATATTAGAGATATACTGAAAATTATAAAAAGAATGCGTTGCCATATTATTTTTAAAAAATTCTAACAATGTTTGTAGTGTATCATTTACCACTTATTTATGTCTAAAATCAGGTTTAGAATTCAATTTCTAATCTAAACATGGAGTGGTGACATTTAATTTGTACTTACAGTTGAGAGGTCTAGAAGTTTAATGTCTAGTGCTGAATTATCATCTTTAATAGCACCTCCTGTCCAGTCTACCATCTCTACTCTAAAGACTTCAGCAGTATTAATGGTCGCTACAGAGGGTATGTGAGGATGCCATCGATTGTGGAGAGGAAGTTTTTGTTCCCATGGCTTCTTGTTCAAGTCTACCGGCACAACCAGTCTTGGAGTTGGGGGCGCCATGGACGAACTGGTACATATTCTGGAAACGTTCGACTTGATCTAAACTCTAGATACTGTTATTACAATGGCATTACGGTGAAGAAGGGGAAAGGACCACACCTTTGGTCTCCAAAAGGTGTGGTGTGTATTCAATTTTTTAAGATAGTGTTTTATGACTTTGATGGTCTTTTAAGTATTTGTTTAAGTTTTTATTGGTTAAATAATTCTATCTTAAGTAAATTAATTAAAGTTAAATTATTATATTGAAAGTTCTATTTTTTGATAAAATCTTATTAATTCACTTAAGCTGAAGGTATTTTATTTAATTCATGAGATAGACAAAATTGGTCCAAATTATTTGCTAAGTCTGATTAATCTTGGCGCATATAAGAGAATTAAATTGGATAGAATACGTGAATATATTTAAGCTTAAGGACTCACAGTTGAGTGATCAACATGCTTGACATCATGGGCAGTGTAATTTTTGGTGATAGCACCTCCACTGAAGTCTATCATTTCAACTCTAAAAAGTTCCCCAGAGGTAACCTCTGCAACTGGGGGTATATCTGGATGCCACCGATTGTGAAGTGGGTATTTTTGCTCCCACGGCTTCTTCTTCAAGTCTACGGGCACTGCAAGTCTTGGACCATACTGAGCCATTTCTCAGCAATATCTCCACCGAGTGATTTAGAGCAGAAAATCGGTATTCAGTGGCTGGTTTATTCACTGAGGAGGATGAAAGTAGCTTGAATTGACTCGTCAGTACTCGCCACTTTTTTCTAGTGTCTTCCGCTGGACCACTTTACTCCTGATTGGAAAATTCGAACCGTTTTGTTTCTTGCATTTTGGTTCTTATTTTTCAGAAACTCGTTCGATCCTCTCGAGTTTTGGGTCCATATATTTATTGATTTATCGATAAAATTAATGTATGGTTGTGGTTATTTCGTTTGGCAACCTCAAATAAGTATTTGTGTTTCAAATTGTCAAAAATTGCAAATTGGTACAGAGGTTATGGGTGACATAATTTTTCAGGGTGAAGGAGACGATCCCTTCGACACTTTTTTCAGCGAAAAACGTGTCAGAGAACACTTTTTCAATTGCGAGTGTGTTTGGTTTTGTGTTGAAACACGTATAGATCATGTTTACTTTAATGCTTTTAACAGTGTTTTTATTGCTTTTCCAAACTAGTGGATTTTGAACCCACTATCATCGACGAAGTCAGAATCATCATTTACTAACAACAACGCTTCTACTCGAAGCAACTCATCAGCGGCAAGGGAAACGCTGCCAACAATCTAACTGTGACAATTTTAGTGCAATTACTTGATCCTCAGTCTCCTCTCTCCCTTGTTATACTACGCCAAACCACGAGACAGTGTCTTTGTCTTTTAGTAAAACAAAGAGAACTTTTCAAGAGGCTTTGAGTACTCCAAATGTTTCTCTATAAATGTATTTGGGACAAGAAAAATTTTTTAAGTTAAAAATTATCTTAAAGAAAACTATATTTTAATAAGTTTTTAGGGTCAAGAAGGAGTCAAAAAATAAGCCTAAACATAAGATAATATTGAAAGACCATTCAAGACTGTTAGTTTTATTAAAAGAGACACATTTCAAGTTATTTTAGAAGATTTTTTTGTCACATTGTTGATTTTTCTCTAAACTGTTTGAAAGATAAGAAAATATTCAAAGTCCACAAAACTAAAGGCTTTTTCGAATAGTTTGAGGGGTTTCCAAGTCACTGACACTCAAAATTGCTCGAAAAACAAGACTAACAAGAAAAATTCTAAGTTCACAAAACTAAGGACTTTTTCGAAGAGTTTTGAGGAGTTTCTAAGTCATTGACACCTAAAACTGCTCGAAAAACAGGACTGACAAGAAAATATTCTAAGTCCACAAAAACTGATGGCTTTTCGAGGCATTTTGAGGAGTTTCTAAGTCCCTGACACCCAAAACTGCTCGAAAAAACAGGAAGTGGTCAAAAAATATTCTAAGTCCACAAACTTGGTTGAGCTCCAGATTTTCTCCAGAATTGCTTGAAAAACGGAAATGAGCAAAGAAAATATTCTAAGTCCACTAGACCAAGACAAGCTCTCAAAACTCCAAAATTACTCGAAAAGAGAAGTCAAGAAGAAATTTTTCTAAGGCCATAACACTAAATGAGTCTCTTAAGTTTCTCCCAGAAATACTCGAAAAAGCAAGAGTCTCGATAGGTCAAGTCATTGCAAAATCCAATAGCAGTTACCAGCAGTTATCAACATTCACCACTACGCAAAGGAGATCGTGGGCGATAACAGTTACGAAAGAAGCTCCAACCAACAACACGATCACAAACAATCGTGGATAATGGGCATCAATAGTTGAGGGAAGTTACTAAGAAATGCCCGCAAAAGGAGGATAACGGTGGTGGTCTTCATGTCTATAAATACTCCAAAGCGCCATTTTACAAAGGAGGACTTTTTGCACCTAGACACTGCACCTAAACTCTCTGAGACGCTGAAACCTTGCACCGCGCCAGACACCAGCTACAAGGAGGCATTACGGTTGTTGTTGTTCATTGCTAGGAGTCGTACGTTTACATTCACGCACCTTTACATTCCCGCATTTACCTTTCTGCATTTTAATTTCAGTGCTTGTTGCTTATATCTTTGTACGCTGTTTATTTCCTGTTTACTGCATTTTTGTAAAAGCATCTACATTTAATTCAATTCTACACAATTACTATTCCCTATTCTTGCTTAATACTCTTTTACGCCGTTAATTTGAGCATCACGTTAACAATACACTTAAAAGAATCCAAAGAGGACCTAAATCCAGTCCCTAGATTGATTTTTGAATTATTTGTTTACAATTGTCATTTTTCACCGTAAACAAAATGATAATAATGCAAGAAAAAAATATATGCATTACATCAAAATAAGATTCCCGAGCTTGTCGCATTTCTTAGTGTTTTGTGTAGTAGTCTTAACGGAGAGAGGAAAAAAAAATAAGAAAAGATTTGAAAAGTAAAAAAGAAGAAATGAAGTTTAATACAAAATTAAAAGAACTTAAAACTACATAATTAAAAGAGTTTACAAACTTTCTCCTCTCATTAAAAATTTTCAAAATAAAAACAATCATTATATAAGTCTTGTCTCTTTTCTCTAAAATTTAATTTTCAAATAGAACTTTAAAATTATAAAGTTATCTATCAATAATAAAAAAATTCAATATTAATTAAAATGTAAATAATAAAGTGAAATTATATCAATATAAGAACACTCTTCAAAGGATATGTTCAAGATGAAAGTATTATCTTTTACAAAATATTTACATTCAATTTACATGTAAAAAATTTTGATGTAAAAATTACTTTTTAACATAAAGAACTTGAAGTAAAAAAAATATTAGTTCCAACAAGAAAGTTTTTATTTATTTATTTTAAATAATAAAAAAGCTTTAAAGAACAAAGAAAAATAAGGCTTAATTTATAGATTCATCAAATATTATATAGTTTAAAGCAATTAAAAAGGCATTGATACAAAACATTTATTCCTTTATTATCATTCTCGGACATAATAAATTAAGTTCTGACACTTTTTTTTATCAAAGATGGAAAGCTTAATGTTTACATCAGCGCCAATTTAATATAAATGTAATCTTTGACTAAGATAAAAAAAAAATAGCAAACAAGAAAAAAATTGATTTCAAGAATTAAAATTAAGAAATGATTTTAAGTAAAATCAGATAAATATAGCAAGTACCTAAATTTTAAATCTTTCTAAACATCCAAATAATTAGATTTCTTCATCAATTATTCAATTTCTTAAAACTGCGAGAATTCTTAAAACAAGTTCAATACCTTTCTCAAGAATAATAGCTTATAACTTTCAATTAATTAACTAAAATCTTTTCCTTAATTAACACTCTTAAGTTACATTAAATTTGATTTATAAATTTCACAAATAAGGTTATTCCTAATACATAAAACTTATGTAATTCTATCTCTAGGATTATATGCAAGTCTTTTCAAATGAGCAATGATTAATTTATTGCTAAATTTCTACTCAAAATCAAAATGTGAAAAATTAAGATACGAGATAAATTGAATCATTAACCAATAAACAAAATTACTCAATTGAACTCAAGAAAATAAAACTTGAAATAATTTGAAGGAAAATTTCAAGAAAGGATTACAAAGAATTCATCACATCTAAGTACTCAAAAAGTAAATTAAAAATTAAACATAAAAAAACTACAATCTAAGATTAGAAAACAACAGAAAAGCCTTGTTGTTGTTATCTCCCGTTGTAGTCGTCACTTTTACTTGTTTCCTTAATTGTCCTCCTAAGTTTTCACATTCTCTTTTTATATATATATATTAGATAGTCCAATTGAATATATGTTTAAATCTGACGCATATCATTTTATACTTCCTATAAATGTGTATATCTTGAAAACACAGTCATGAATATAAATGTGTATATCTATGCTTCAAAGACTTATTTTATTTACTCTAAGAAATACATGAGCAAATTTATGGGCCTGAACATGTCCATGTAGATCTCTATCCTTGCACTCATAACAATTCATTCAGCTTAAAAAGCACATGTGCAGATACATGGTTTGAATCTGGCCATATATCTTATTAATTTTATGAATCTTAAAAGGAAGTTGACATTGCTTCCCTTTTTATCAATTATTTCTTGTTCATTCTTCCTGAAAAATAAATATTAATCTAATTAATATAAATTTTCATAATGGTTAGTTCAAAATTTTAATTATTATTCATGAAATATATTAGCTAATCAAGTATAAAAAGTATTTATCAGTCTTGAATTATAACTTAAAAAAAATAATCAATTATGTTTATGTTCAAAAGAAAAAAAAGAAAAAAAATTGTCTTAAATATATTTTTATATTATTTTAAAATTATGGATTGAATAAATATGAATAAAATTATTTTAATCATTTTTCTTTTGATTTTTATTTTTCTACAAAGATTTGTTTTTTGTTGGTGAGTTTCATGTTTTTTCATTTTTTTTTCTGATTTTTTTCACTATTTTTACCCAATCAAAGAAGAAGAAAAAAGACCTGAAACGATTTATCATGTTGTTTGACGCTATACTCTGTTTAGTTAAACACGAAGTTCTTCTATATTGATTTGAGATGCTGACAGTAGTACCTGAGGATAATCAGGAGCAAGGAGTATCAACCATGTTGCTTACAGTAACTAGTACATTATATATTTAATGATTAATTTAAGTTATATATTTTAAATTCTTTTTAGTAAATGTTTAAATACAAATTCTCTTTGCAAAATATCTTATTAAAAATGTTAATATCAGTATAGTGTAAATTTTTTTACGCAAATATAATTATTTCTTGTAAAAGATGCTAAATCATAAAGTAAGAAACATGGGACCTTTTCATCAATATCATTATTTGGGGGTGGAAATTGGGTTCAAGCTAATCCAAATGTTACATGTAGTACTAGGAGTAGGACCCACAGATCGGAATCTTTAAGACATTTCTTCCATTTTCATCATAATTTTAGCTTTGCATATTCATTTTCACTAACACCCTTAGTGCATGTTTTTTCTACGTTATTAAATTCGTTTCTATATTTGCAAATTACATCATTTCTAGCAGATAGGAATGGTTGAGTTATGTTTGAGTGGGGTTATTATTCATGCTACACTTTGACTTATTCGTAACATGCTTCGCTAGTTATTTATATCAATTAGCTAAGCTCACAAGCAATTAGAAATGTTCGCTCATAGAGTGATAGGTTCACATCATTTTCAGATGAGTAACCTGATTTATCGTCATTTTTTTTAGTTTCACTATTAAAATTATTTACTTTAAAATTTTTAAATCTAATGTAATTAAATTT